CCAGACATCAAGACATTAATGGAGAGAATTTAAAAAATTAAGGAAAGACCAGAGGAAAATAGGAAGGAGCTGATGTCAGAAATGACAGCAGTAAAGAATACTGTGATTGAAATGAATAACAGACTAATAAGCATGGAAAGCAGAATCAGCTAAGCAGAAGAAAGAATCTCAGAGCTCAAAGATCAAAACACAGAACTAACCCAAACTGTCAAAAGCATAGAAAAGAAGCTTAAAAAGACAGAACAAAACCTGGAAAAGATGAATGATCACTTCAAGAGACCAAACCTAAGAGTAATTGGGCTTCCTGAGGCAGAGAGAGAAACAGAAGCCACACTGGAACAAACATTTTATGAAATCATTCAAGAAAACTTCCCTCATCTCATCAAGGATGAAAAAATTCAAACACAAGAGATTCAGAGAACCCCTGCAAGACAACAAATGAGAAGACCAACTCCCAGACACATAATAATTCGCCTCAACAAAGTAGCTATAAAAGAAACAATCCTAAAAGCAGCAAGAAAAAAAGGCCAGACTACCTACGAGGGAAAACCAATTCGAATAGCAGCAGATTTATCCACAGAAACCCTTCAGGCTAGGAGAGCCTGGAGCCCTATCTTCAAAGTTCTAAAAGAGAAACAATTTCAACCAAGAATAACCTATCCAGACAAACTAAGCTTCATTAGTGAGAGAGAATTGAAATCTTTTCGAAATATCCAATCCCTAAGAACCTACGCTGCCACCAGGCCACCTCTATAAGAAACACTTAAGAAAGTACTGAACACAGAAGAAAAAGAAAAAAGAACAACAACATTCTTCACAAGAGTACAGGCAAAAGATTAAAAACATACATGAACCAACTCCAAGACCCAAAGAAAGACAACAAACAAACAGGAACAACTCTGTAAGAACCTTATGACAGGGATCAACTCTTGCATTTCAATTATTGGCCTAAATGTGAATGGACTAAATGCACCACTGAAAAGACATAGAATGGCAAAATGGATAAAATATCATCAGGCAACAATCTATTGCTTCAAGAGACTCACCTCACTAGAAAGGACACCCACAGACTCAAAGTAAGAGGATGGGACACAAACTTTCAGGTGAACGGAATACAAAAGAAAGGAGGAGTAGTGATCTTAATTTCAGACAAATTACCCTTCAAGCTATTAAAAATCAAAAAAGATACAGAAGGACACTACATAATGATAAAAGGCTCAATCCATCAACAGGAAATATCTATCCTAAACATATATGCACCCAACATAGGTGTGCCAACTTTCATAAAGCAACTTCTAGGAAAACTAAAGAAAGATATTGACTCTACCACTGTCATAACTGGGGACTTTAATACCCCACTCACAACCCTAGACAGATCACCAGGACAAAAAATCAGCAAGGAGATCCAGAACCTCAATGTGACTTTGGACCAAATGGACTTAATTGATACCTACAGAATACTCCATCCAAAGACCACAGAATACACATTCTACTCATCACCACATGGAACATATTCTAAGATCGACCACATACTCGGCCATAAATCAAGCATAAGCAAATTTAAAAGGACTGAAATTCTACCAAACACCTTCTCGAAGCACAGTGGAATAAAAATAAACATTGACACCAACAAAGTCCCCCCAAAACCCACAAAGACATGGACACTAAACAGCATGATGCTAAACAACTCCTGGGTCAATGATGAAATCAAAACAGGGATCTTTAAGATACCTGGACACAAATGAAAATGAAGAAACATCTTACTAGAATCTCTGTGATGCCCTGAAAGCTGTAGTAAGAGGGGAATTTATATCCCTACAAACACACATGAAGAAAATGGAAGGAACACAAATTCACAACCTAACAAGCCACCTAAAGAAGCTGGAAAAGCAAGACCACAAAAACCCTCATTTCAGCAGAAGAATCCAGATCACCAAAATAAAATCCCAAATCCAGGACATAGAAGACAAAAAGATAATACAAAAAATCAATGAAACAAAAAGCTGGTCCTTCGAAAGGATAAACAAGATTGATGGTCCCCTAGCTAGACTGACCAAGAAAAACGAGAAAAAAACCAAATAAGCACAATCAGAAACACAAAAGATGAAGTCGCATCTGACCCTGAAGAAATACAAAAAATCATTAGAGACTACTACGTACACTTGTATGGAAACAAACTTGAAAACCTTAAGGAAATGGAGGACTTTCTGACATCACACAACCTACCTAGGTTGGAACAAGAAGAAATTAAGACCCTAAATAGACCAATAACAATCAAGGAAATCGACTACGTAATAAGAAAACATCCTACCAAAAAAAGCCCTGGTCCAGATGGCTTTCCAGAAGAATTCTACAAGACATTTAAGGAGGAGCTGATACCAATCCTACTGAAGGTATTCCAGGCAATTGAAAATGATGGAACTCTCCCCAAATCATTTTATGAAGCCAACATCACATTGATACCCAAGCCAGGTAAAGATCCAATAAAGAAAGAGAACTACAGGCCAATATCTTTGATGAACATAGATGCTAAAATTCTCAACAAGATCCTAGCAAACCAGATTCAGCAATACATCTCAAAAATCATCCACCATGACCAAGTAGGCTTTATTCCTGGGATGCAAGTCTGGTTCAACATTTGTAACACCATAAATGTAATTAAATACATCAACAGATGTCAAAACAAAATCCACATGATCATATCATTAGATGCAGAAAAAGCTTTTGATAAAATCCAGCACGCTTCTTGATAAAAATCCTTGAACATCTAGGCATACGAGGAACATACCTCAAAACAGTAAAAGCCATCTACGAGAAACCCACAGCCAGCATACTCCTAAATGGACAAAAATTGGAACCAATTCCCCTGAAAACTGGAACTAGACAAGGATGCCCACTCTCACCCCTCCTGTTCAACATAGTATTGGAAGTCCTGGCCAGAGCAATCAGAGAAGAGGAGGCAATCAGGGGTATCCAAATAGGAAAAGAGGAAGTCAAGTTATCTCTCTTTGCAGATGATATGATTGTGTACCTCGAAAACCCAAGAGAATCTGTCAAAACCTCCTTACATTGATAAAGGCCTTTGGCAAAGTCTCAGGATACAAAATAAATGTACAAAAGACAATCGCAATTCTCTACACCAATAATAAACAAACAGAAACCCAAATAAAAAACACAATTCCATTCACAATAGCGACACAAAAAATGAAATACCTTGGCATCTTCCTAACCAGAGATGTGAAAGACCTTTACAATGAAAATTACAAAACACTGCTCAAAGAAATCAAAGATGACACAAACAAGTGGAAAAATATCCCATGCTCATGGATTGGAATAATCAACATTGGAAGATGATCATCTTACCTAAGGCAATCTAAATTCAATGCAATACCCATCAAATTACCAGCAACATTCTTCTCAGACCTGGAAAAAACAACACAGGAATTCATATGGAAGCACAAATGTCCAAGAATAGCCAGAACAATCCTCAGCAAAAAAACAAAGCAGGTGGTATCAGATTACCAGACTTCAAACTTACTATAAAGCTACAGTCATCAAAACAGCTTGGTATTGGTATAGGAACAGGCATATAGATCAATGGAATACAATTGAGATTCCAGAAGCAAAAACCTCAATTTGTCAACCAATTCATTTTTGACAAAGCCTCCACCACCTACCACTGGGGAGAGAAGAACCTATTCAGTAAATGGTGCTGGGAAAACTGACTGACCACATGCAAAAGATTGAAACAGGACCCCTATCTATCCCCATGCACAAAGGTTAATTCCAAATGGATCAGAGACCTAAATGTAAAACCTCAAACC